CATCAGAGGGTGGTAGGAGAGGGGGCAAATTTATGGGTTTAGGCAGATTTCAGGCAAGGTTGGTAACGTGTTTGAGAAGTGCTCTTTTTAAAGGAGGCTTCTAAATATTCTGGGGTCTACCATTCATTGGAGGGCATTTTGGAATACCAAAGGTCCCTTCAAAGCTGTTTTTTTTTTATGGATGGATGGCTGTTTTGGGGAAGGTTTGACATTTGACAACATGAGAAAGAGACGTCATATCTTGGTAAATTGGTATTGCATGTGTAACGGGGATAAGGGGTCAATTGATAATCTTCTCTTATATTTGTGCAGTGGCTAGGGATGTGTGGGACATGCTCAAGGATGGACTTAAAGAGGCTCCACCTCAAAAAAAAAAAAAAAAAAAAAAAAAAAAAAAAAACTAGAAATTTTTCCATATTACAATTATATACCAATGAAATTTTAGTGTTGCCCCCCCTGAAATTATAAAAACATTTCACTTTTGGCCCCCATCCAATTTCCTGGGTCCGTCCCTAGACATGCTCATTTCCTTTTTTGGTTAGCTGGGTCTCACCAGCTTCCACGTTTAATTGAGGCTTGCAACAGGTGTATAGTCTGGTCATTAGTCTAGGATGCATGGAGCCTCCTAATTAGTAGGCTGGAATTGATAAAGAGTACAGGAACAGTAAGATGGTGTCAGGGACAGGGTGAGAACATTCTACTTTGTATTTGGTGGGGCTTATATGGTGTAAGCAAGATAGGAGATCCGGAAGGAATCTTCTATTTGGGTGTTAAAATCATCCATTTTTTCGTTCTCTTTTTTGTTGGGTTAATGGGATGGATTGTAGAAGATTTTGTAGCCTTTGTGGATAGTTTGAGGGTATAGGGGATTCTTATGGCTTGGAGCTTATTGTTTGTAGGTGTTTCCTTGGGCGCACTCCCCTTGGTCATTCCCTGAGGAATTAACTCGAACACTTAAATTTTATGATGGTTTTAAGCATGCTCCATCTCCTTGGACGGCTGAAAGTAGGTTTGCATGGAGAATTTTACACTTGAATCATCCCCCCATCTTGAATTGAATTTTGTTTTCATAATAGAAATTGAATAGAGATTGAATTAAAATGTGATTGAGATTTGATAACAGAGTCAAACTTCTGGTATAGCAAGGAATTTTATTTTATAAGCAACATCAACTACTAATCTACAATTATGTTCTGGGAGTGGGTATTATTAGAGTGTTTAGTAGCTTCCAATGCCAGTCAAAACAACTGGGGATAGTTTTTGCAGGCATATTGAAAATAACCAAATTGTGATGGTGTTGAATCCTTTTTTCAATCCCAAGTCTAACACTCTGATGGATTTCTTTTATGGATGGTTCCTGATGTTATAACGAATATTGATGACCATTATGTAATTCGGTTCATTTGTTTGACAGTGGTTTTGATGACAATAGTTTGTTGCATAACCCAATGGCATTACTTGAATCACAATTGAAAGAGAAAAATAAAATTAAAAAAAAAAAGGAGGGGAAGGGGGAAAGGATGGATGGCATAACCAGTACATAAGCCTCTTGCATTTAACAGGGTTTGAGAGAGGTGAATGGTAGACAGTCTTGCTCCAATTTCTTAGATAGGCTGATTTTGGGACTCAAACCCACGTCATTGCGGGGGACGGTTAAGCATTTGAATCACCATGGGAATGTAAAAACAAGGTTATTTGTTGAATTCCTTTAAAACATTTAAAAAGTTATCCAAAAAAGGAAAATTTCATATTGTTATTCGATACAACTTGCTCATTTGATATACAGTGCTAAACAATGTGCAATTTAGTTTTCAACCAAATCTTCTTGTGAAAAATAACTGTTGCTCTAGCTTTTAATTCATCTTATAGTTTGTTCTTATTTACTTTATGCAATCTTCTTTGTGCATGTAAACAAATTTTTATGTGATTATCTTCCTCTATGGCAGATGGATCTATCTCCTCGATCCAAAGAGGGCCAGGCACTAAAAACTACAAATCTGTGGGTCTAAAAGTTTGTGATATTTTGTAATACCCCTAGTTTTCAAAAGGATAAAATGAAAATTTAATTTTCAATATTAATTTGTAATTCACTTTTATTTTTTTTATTTAATTATTAGACTTATTTGTTTAAATTAATTGTTTTATTTGCTAAATTGATTTATTATTATTTGTGTGTATTTAATTGAATAGCTGAATTGAGATTGTTTTAATTTAATTATTTGATAGATTGTTTTAATTATATTATTTGAATTTATTTAAATTAATTGCCTTAGTAATATGTAACTGGTTGACTGTTTATAATTATTTAAATTGTTTTAAATTATTGGATCTTAAGTTAGGGTTATGGTTTTACGTATTGCCGACTTAGCGTTAGTCGGTTCTTTTCCAGAGTGTATTAGGATTAGGGTTATAGATTTACTGAGTCTATAAATATGTTGTTACATTAGGCTTAAGGTTTTGAAATAAATACAACCTTAGTCTGTTCACATATAAACAGACTGTTCACCTAAAACAGAAAGATACAGAGGTAAACGGAGAATGATCTTGGGTGATTCACAAAGCAGAGTCACGAAGGGGAGTTTGGTGTATGCTACTGGGTTGAACTAGGAGCAGCAGAGGTCGTTTAATACAATCGACGTTGCCGGAGTTGATAGAGACGACAGTTAGAGATTTTAATTTAAAGTCTCAAAGGCAAGTATCTGTTCTTCTCTTTCCCATAAACTTATGATATATGCATGCTTAGATGGACTCTAGGAGTTTAAATAAATGCCTAAACAAATGTTTATGTATGCTTGACTGATAATTAGACTCGTTGAATGAAGCTGTTTCACAAAATTCTTAAAGTCTCTGTTTGTTTGGTTCTTTTTGTTTATGTGTTTGAGCTTTGCTATTTGAGATTAATGATGCATATGGATGGCTTGTAGTTAGTCTGGAAGGTTAATTAGATGTTAGAACAAGAATTTATTACAGTGCAGATGGCTGGAACATCACCGGAGTTGAAGGAGACGAAGCTGAAACAAACGAGGGCTGTTAAGGGGAGGGAGAGCAGTCTCCCAAAACCTTAGAGCCGGCTCCCAAAGAGGGGGAGCCAGCTCTAGAAGCATTGGAGCCAGCTCTTAGGGACCTAAAACCAGCTCTAAGTCATTTAGAGCAGGCTTCCAATTTTGGGAGAGCCTGCTCTCTCCTTAGGCTGCAACAGATTTGATTTTAGGGGTTGTTTGGCTATACAGGGTATTTGTACTTTGTTTAACTTGTTTTAAATGATGCTTAGGACTGTAACAAACCTGTATTATGATGAAAAAACACTAATTCATAATTGGACTAGGGAATGGAGCAAGTTGCAGTTAAGGAACAATGGTAAAACGCACACTGTTTTGGTTATTTGAATTACTTACTGAAACTTGAGATGGAGAAGGCTCTCCTTGAAATGAAGAAAGCTCTCCTTGAGATGGAGAAGGCTCTTTTGTTTCAGAGCCTTTTCTTTCTCTTATTAAGACGTAAAACTGTTACTTAGGGTCCGTTTAGCTGAACTGGGGTTTGTCTAAGGTTGTCTGGATGCTACTAAAGAGTGTATATCATTGCTAAAGACTTATAAAAATATTGGGAAGCATGGTTATATTCAGACATTGCAAATAGAAGTAACCTAAGGTTAAAAGTGAACTTGTATAAGGATGGTTGGATTATAAGCTTGTAATTGCTTATTGTGTTTGGAATTTAACCTCTCTGCATGAACTGGAATGGTTAATCATATTCTGATCTGTGTTATAAGTATGTAATGGTTTAAATGCATGTATGCTTAGATAAAAGTAATTGAGGTTTAAATCTGTTGTATTTTGTATCAGTTAAAGTACTGTTTGGAGGAGCTAATTTCTTAATCATATTTTACAAATTTAAAGGACTAGAATAGGATGTTTAAATCTTGTATTGGATGCATAACTTGGTTATATACATGTTAAATTGTATTTATGCTTGTTTTGGAAGGTGGTTGATAGATAATTATACTGTTTTTGTCAACTGTGTTAGCTGGAGGATAGTATGCACCGGTATGGGACGGTGGCATACTAGGTATGGATTAGTTCAGTCACTAAGCCTACCTAATCTGGATTGAGGATTAACAATAAAAGTTAAGTCCGACTTCTGTTAGTGTTAGGTCAGTAAATAACTGAATGATATAATTGAATTTCTGGGATGAATTGTTGTACAGCTATCAAGCCACTATATCAGATGGATGATATTTTGTATTAGAAGAACATAGACTTTATATATTTTTGTTATGATGCCATGGTATGAGCTTGAGTCTCATGACCATAGTTAGGGTGCGTATATCGCCTGGGATGGATAACTGGACAGAGGTGTTGTTCCCTGGTAGGTCTAGGTACACATGACCACATTATGTGCAATTTGCATGGTACCTCTACTCAGGCTGAGACAAACCTATTGGACTAGTGAGCGTCTTATAGTGTGTACTTATACATATATGGACTACTCTAGATATTGTTGAGTCTATCTAGGATGTATCTGCGTATCAGGTTTATGTATGGATCGTAATAGAATAGGACTTGTATGTGGGCCTGACTCACTCTCTTATTTTTCAAGTGTTCGACAGTACCAGGCTTAGAGCTTGATCGTGTTGATGTAGATACAAACACTCACTCTTCCGGTTACTTAGGATTTCCTTTCTATTTTAATTTTAGATTTTAATTCTGTAAATTTATTCAGGGATTTGGGATTAGGGGTTCACTAGGTGGATTCATGAGTTGTACGAATTTAAATTATATTAAATTATTATTTAAGGTTGAGAATTTTTTATTTTTAGTTTTCTTTCAGCGCATTATTCTTTCATTATTAATTCAGTTTTTATTCCTGCTTGTTTACATATTGATTGTTTGGTATCTCTCGGATCTGTGCTAGGACTTAATCACCTATGGCTCTAGAATCGAGGGGTATTACATATTCTTAACCTTGTTTGCAAATAATGCTTTCTCTTATGGTGCTTGCAGGTAATAAAGAGTGATCAAAGTCCACAAATGGATGCTGAAATAGAGGCTACTAAATGTCATCATAAATGCCTTAAGGTGGTGGAATTGGTTCGGTTTGATGGGAGTAACAACAGCGAAATTTTTCTTCTTTTGCACATACTTGAGATTGCCACATCAGTGGAGAAGATAATTATCGATCCCCGTCAAAATCCACTTCAAGCGGAGAAGACGGAAGCTGCTAGAGAACGCGCCAGGCAGCTAAAAACAAGATTACCTGCAACCGTTGAATTAGTGATTCATTAGGTAAAACAAATAAAAAGAAACAAATCCCAGTCCATGTGATCCTAAGTCCCTTGTCAACCTTTTAGATAAGGGAGTTTGTGGGCGTATTGACTTGTTTTGGTGCCAAATGATTATAGCAAATGTTATTTTCTGAACATGAACCCGAGAACACACACACACATGTACAAGGAACAAAGGGTCTTTTGGAACGTTTGCATGTTGATGTCCTTGTTTGAATTGGTTAAAATTTTAAATTATGGATTTCTCTTAGAAATCGCTCTCGTTTTGTTGGGTATTTCAATAAGGAACTTTCATTTCTTTTATTCTCAATGTGTTTAATTTTTGGTGAATTACTTCTTTTTATCGTCTGGCGAGGCATAGTACTTTCTTTACTCTGTTGCATCTATCAAGTAAAGCTTAGGGAGCCCAATTTTAACACGCCTGCTATATTTGAATTGGCAGCCCCATTGGAAATGCTCTAAGCTGCTTTTTATGGTTGAATCTTCTTGTTTTATGGTTGAAGTTCAAACCTAATAGTATTCAATGACTTTATTTACTTGTAGTAGAGTCAATTCTTAACTATTGGATACATGGTTTAGCCTTTTTAGACTTTCAGATGATTTGCAAATCCTTAATATGTCATTATGAGCAGGTTACATGTATTATTTAAATTTGGGTGATTTTGTGCCTTGTAAGAACTGAACTAGAATGTCATCCGGGATCGCCCCAGGAGTCCCTTTATCCACTGAGCCACTTATACGGGTTAGAAATGGTTGAATATTGCATAATGTAATTGGAAATTTGATGAACATAATATAATAGTAGTAGGAAATTTAATTAGAGAAGTAAATATATAATATTAAAAAATTGATTTATTTAATTCAATAAAATAAAATCTAATTAGAGGAGAAATACTAAAAATAATATAGAAGTAGGAAACACTGAAATTTAATAAAAGGAAATCTAAAAAAAGACGAAAATATATAATTTATTTCAATAAATACAAAATAACAATTTTATATCAAAATATATCAATAAAATCATAAACTAAGAATTCTATACAAAATTATTTTTATATTTAATTTTTAAAAAAATTTACAATATCATTTATTTCAATAAATAATTTTTTTATAATATTATTTATATATAATAAATAATAATAGAAATTTATTATTTTATATACGTTTTTTATTCTTTACAATTTATTTGACTTTATAATTATACACACACTTCCTCTCAATTGTATTGCTTTACTAGTAATTATATATGTGTGTTGATAATATAGGCTAAGAATTAATAATCGATGATTGTGGTTATGATCGGTGGCTGGCAAAACTGGCAAAACAATATATATATAAAGTCTGATTAAATTCATACAAAGGTAAAAAAAAAAAAAATTGAAATTTAAACAACAAATTGAAGATAAAGAAGATAATGTACACACAAATTTTATAATCTGCGAATAAGAAACAAAATTGGGGCAAAAATAATATTTTATTAATTTATAAAAATGGAGTACAATCCTCTATAATAATATTCCAAAAAATAAGGTCATCTGATTCGATCTCCTTTTTGGTTGGTTGGATCCAAGGGCTGCACGAACTTGATCTTGAATCACCGTGGGATTTGGATGAAGAATAGCACGTCTTTGGCTTTGCTTGTTGTTGATCACTGTGGAATTTGGATGAAGAACGATACGATTTGATGTGCTTGTTATTCTTCGTCTTCAGAGAGGATTTGTTGAATTTGGTGCAAAAAGGGCACGACTTTGGATACGCTTGGTATTCTTCGCCTTCAGGTTTGCCCTTTGAATTTCTGGTCCTCTGGATTTCTGATTCCCTTAATTTTTGGACCTTTTGGATTTTTGAGTCTCTGGATTTCTAGACTCTAAATTTGTGTCTGAATTTTTGGACTTCTGAAATTGTCTCTGAATTTCTGGACTTCTGAATTTTGAATTTGTGTTTGAATTTCTGAACTTCTGAATTCTGAATTTGTGTCCTTTGTTGAATTTGAGGAAGAACGGTATGTCTTTGGATGTGCTTGTTGTTCTTCGTCTTCAGAGAGGAGAGAATTTGTTGAATTTGGTGAAGAACGGCACGACTTTGGATGTGCTTGGTGTTCTTCGCCTTCAGGTTTGCCCTCGGGATTTCTAGCCCTCTAGATTTCTGATTCTCTCAATTTTTGGACCTTCTGGATTTCTGAGTCTCTGAATTTCTGAACTCTGAATTTGTGTCCCCTTCTTTCTTCCCTATGCCTCTATTTATAGGCTTCTTGGATTAATAGGATGATGACACGTGTCCTCTCCTAATAAGGAAAAAATCATAACAGGCCGGGCCGGTTATATTATGATAATTATCATTAAAAATAATTATTTCAAATATATTTTATTAGGAATAATTATCTTTCCATTTAATCATCTAGGCTGGACTAATTAAATAATTTAAGTCCTCTCCTGATAAGGAAAAAAATCATAACTGGGCCGAACCGGTTATATTATGATAATTATCATTGAAAATAATTATTCCAAATATATTTTATTAGGAATAATTATCTTTCCATTTAATCATCTAGGTTGGACTAATTAAATAATTTAAGTGAACCAATTTTGGGCCAATTAAATAACTTAATTAAATATTGACCCATATTTAATGGTCAATTTGTCAAAACAACCTTTTTCATGTGGGGGGATGGATAAGCACATGAATCACCATGGGAATGTAAAAATCATGCCGTTTCTTGAATTCCTTTGGAAAACTTTTAGAAAAATATTGAGAATAAGAAAATTTGTTATTGTTATGAGATACTATTGCTCATTTCACATCCAGTGCATAGCGATGTTCATTTTAGTTTTCAACCAAATCTTGTGGTGTGAACCAACCGTTGTTCTGGATTCTAATTCATTCTTCAATTTATTCTTATTTATTTTATGTAGATCTTCTTTGTTTGAATATGACCGCTCTTAAGGGTATGTTTGATACAGTAGAAAAGAAAAGAAATGATAACATTAATTAGGAGAGAAAAGAAAGGAAATGAGAGAATAGTATTAATTAATTATTGTGTTTGGTTGATTAATAAAGAAAAAAAAAGTAAATGATACTAATCATGTTTGGGAAAAGAAAAAAAAAAAAAAAAAAAAAAAAAAAAAAAAACTAAAAAGCCATAATTGATGCCTTAATTGTTGAGGGCATTTTTGAAATAATAAAAATACTATTTAAACACTACACTGCCCTTTCTTTTCTTATAAGAAATGAGAGAGAAAGTATCCCTCACTTATTTTTTCTCATTTTAAATAATCCAACAGACTTAAACCTTATCTTTTCTTTCTTTCTTTTCTTTTCTTATCCCTCCAAATTATCTTATTAAGGGCACTTTCAAAATTATGAAAATAATCATTTCTTTTTTTGTACTTTTACTTTTTGCGAGACAAAAAAAAAATGAGTTTAAATTATCCCTCACTGTCCTTAGTTTCCTCTCATTTTAAATTACCCAACCACACTTAAGTCCTTCCCTGTTTTATGTTTTTTGCCTTTTCTTTTCCATCCCTGTGCCTCCAAATTATGACATCCAAACGCACTCTTAATCCCAAAGAGAGAGAGTTACTCTCAAAAGCACAAGTGAAAGAGAGTGGGGAAAATGGCGACTACAAACGACCCAGACGAAGAACTCCACACAATCACCGCCGAGCAACGCCGCGAGTTCATGGTGGCGCGAGCCGTTGAGTCCGACCTCGACCTCGCCTTCCACCTCCAGATGGAGGAGGCCATTACCGCCTCGCTCTCTCTCCAACCCTCCTCTTCCTGTTCAAGCCCACCCCCACTCCCACCACACCCACCAGCCGCCCAATCAGTCTCTTCCAGTCCCTCAAACGACGACGTCTTCAACGTCGTCGGCCTCCAGACCGATGAGTTCGAAAAGTTCGCGCAAGAATTCTCCGATCGCTGCCTCACGGAAGCCGAATCGAGGAAAACCCAAGAAGATCTCCTCCGTCGGATTCACGATCGCAAAGTAGCCCTAGAGATTGAGCATATGTCCGAGGACGAGTGGGACGACAGCGGTGACTATTTCGAGAGGCCTTTCGGCGAGGGGACTTCCAAGAGTGTTAATAACGAGATTTGTAGGGTTTACTTCAAAGGGTTGGTGGCGGAGGAGAGGCTTAAGGATTCCAAGGTCTCTTTGACAGGGATCGGTGTCGCGATTTGCGACTCGAGGGATGGTTTGATTTTCGAGCTGAAAAAGCCTCTGCTTGGGGATGGGAAATGCCGCCTAGTCGCGGAGGCCAAGGCTTTGATCGAGGGGTTAAATGCGGCTCTTGCTTTGGATTTGAAGAGGGTCGCATTTTACTGCGATTACTATCCGCTCCACCAATATGTGAGTTTCATATGCAGATTTAGTAATTGTTTCTGTTTAAATTGTGTTTGAATTCTTTGGGTGATCCATTGTTTGGGAATTTTAGGGTTCATTTGGTTAAATGAATGGATTTGAAATTTGAGTTCCATAACATTTTGACTATAAAAGTTGGATTCTATTGTCTTATCATCTTTGATGGTGACCACTTCGCCTACAAGTACTGGTACTGGTTTCCATCCAGAAAAGAATGGAATTCCATTCGTTGTAACCATCCATCTTGATGAATTGGAGGGAATCCCAGTCCAGTTGCGGAAACCAGAGAAAATCGGGATCAATACCTAGAATCAAAGTAGCCACCAGCCGAGTACTGCTAGTGAAGTTAGAAGAATATAAAAGTATAGTATATATTTATATATATATAGATCTGACCAACTGCCCATCCTACCTCCTCTACGTTCTTGACAGCCGTCTTTGTCTCATTAGAGTCTTCCTTGGCCCTTTTCAGTTTGGGGTATCAACGCTATTGGACTAGTCACTCCAAAAGCCTTGAATGGCAATAGATTCGTTTTTGTGGTTATCGACTATTTCACAAAGTGGGTTAAAGCTGAATCTTACACAAACATCTTTTGTAGATTGTTTCACTAAGCATAACATCATCTGCCGCTATGGGGTGCCAGAAGCAATAAATTCAGACAATGCCAAGAATCTCAAATATGATCTTAGCAACCTGGTTAAGCCGCCCATGCTTGTGTTTCCACACTCCCTTACTTAGGGGACAACTTCTGCGTCTTGAAGAATGTGCTAGCAACATCGTCAGTCACCACAACAAACTTTGTTCCCAACAAGTGGTTCTGGTTAATGCACCAAAACTGTCATTTCCTTCTCATTTAATGAGTACTTTGCTCTGCAAAGCATAGAGGTATTCATATTACAAATCTTACTACAATGGATTTAATAAGTTCTTGTCAATAACCACGTCCGCTAAAGAGAAATATTAAACTAAAACCCATACAAAATGAGCACCTAGGGAAAAAAGGCTGATGTATTTTTGAGTTTTTGCCATTGGTTACTGGTTGAGCCACTGGAATGGAATGAGATAATAATAAAAAAAGAGGTCTGCTCTTCCTTATTTTCCATATATAATTCTAATAAGAGCCTGTTTATTGAAATAGAAAATTTAGGAAGAACATGGAAGCCACAGAAGTGCCACCACAATATGGTGTTTAGTCATCTTGCAAAAGTAGAACTTGGTGGAGCCTTTGGAACTCATATCCATAACCGTGAAGTTTAGTCTACAGAATGTGGACTTTATTCACAGCAGAACTTGTCTCTATTATGCTATTCCCTTTGGTTGGAAAGGGATGTTTATATGTCAGCAACAGAAGCTCAAGTTTCCTCGCCATCTTAGTGGGAGTCATGGGACTAGTCTAATAAAATTTCACTTGAACAGCTAAGGCGGATTAGTCGACATTTTTCATAATTTTACAAACAGAAGCCCTTATTTTCATATTTGTTATTCCTTGCCAGGGAGATGGCTAGTGGAACACACCCAAACTCATAGGCAATGATGTTTCCGAGTACCACATTTGCACATTGCCACGGAAGATCATATGCGATTTCCTCGGTTCACATGTTCAAGCTAGTGCTTGCAAGCGGCTAGGCATAATAGCCCATCTGCCAACTATTGGAATAGGTGAGCCGTCTTGCCACCTTATTTTGAAGGAGCAAGCCAGCAAGTTTTCCGGTGACTAATCTCCCATCGCTAGAAAGCCCAATGGTAACCAAAATAAGCAAGTCAGCTTCGATAGTGGTAGTAGCTTCAAAGGAATTGGTAGTATGTCTATATCTCCAAAATTCGATGTACTTCTTTAAGTGATGGACACATCTCATGTTTGCCAAATCTAAAAACCATTGCCTTTGCATCCCAACACTTCACTGTGGCTATGATCCGGACAGAAGGATAAGTTTGATTATGGCGTGGTTCTTTTTCATCTATCTCCGAACATCCTCGATACAGGATACTACTGGCTTTTAATGTAAAAGACTGCTACAATTATGTCAAACATTGCCACAAGTGCCAAGGATTCATTAGGATTCTCAAATTTTGAAGATGGAGTTGGAAGTTTTGCAAGACCTACTATCACGATTGATTGCTTGCATGTGGACTGCCCATTTCAATTGTTGCGCTTTCTTAAAGTGCATAGCATTCCTGACATACTGGAGTTACAACATTTGAATACGCTCTTTAACTTCTATTCTAACGAACTAAATATCTTTTATAAGGAATTGGAGGAAGGTGAGACGATTTTTTCCTGGAAATGAAGTTGCAGTCGGTTTGGATGATAATGCCGGTTGATTCAGTAGCGATTGAAGCTCAGAGGGAACGGGTTGCTCAGTTTGAAAGAATTTCTGCAAAAACGTGCTTCAACCTTCTTCTTTGTCTATAAACTAGATGATGGACTCGAGGCTTACTTTCTCATATATAGTGAGAGTTGGGACCATTTCGGATTATAGGTTAAGAGGTTTGTTAGTTCCATCAACCAACACTACTCTACACACATAGGTGACCTTTTAATTTAGACATTGTTAAGACAATTAAAAATTGATATAAGTTACAATGTACCCTACCAAATAGGGTGCCACCTCACTTCGATACGTGGATAACCATTGATCTAGTCTAATCATGGGATTAATATTACTCAATTATTTATATATATATATATTTATATATATCTATATGTATATAAAAAATTTAAGAGACTATTATCTTGCTTACATAAACTTCAAGGTGAAGATAGGTTAGAGGTATGTGAAAAATATTTTATCACTTATCAAAAAATAAAAAAAAATGAAAAATATTTTATTAAAATCATTATGCAACTTGAAGCATTGCCGATATGGGTTCAAATTGCTCCTTGTTATTTGAAATCCACCTTAATGGTTATGTTCACGTGAAGTAAAAATTTGTGTTTTAAGGCTCTGTAGGTTTCGGCGTAAAAAACTTATGGGGTAAAACATTTTCCATGAAAAACTTTTTACATGTAAAATGTTTTTTTTTTTTTCATTGCATTTTCCTGTGTTTGGCATAAAGTGGACAACGATATGCGAAACCGAACAAGAATGGAGCTAAGTGGGTCGCACAGCGTGTGTGAATTTCATAAAGTACTCTTTTTTTTCCTGAAAAGGTCGAGCAATTTTATTGGTGAAAAACTGTAAACTTCTTCTAGGCATTGAATTGAAAAATGAAGAACATATGAACACACAATGTGTGTGAATTGCAGAGAGTAATATGCTTCTACATCTAGAATATGAATTTATATGTGTATATACGAGTTATATATGTATACATGCGTATATATAAGGGGTCCCATAAATAGAATTTTTGGAGGGATTGGAGGAATACAGAAGTAAAGATGAGCACTAGTCTGGCTTTCCTTTTTTGATTTCTCTGTCTGGAGGTTTGTCGATGTTCATGAAGATGCCAAGCATGATGGTATTTGGGATGAGTTTCAATTTAGTAAAACAACTTGCAAGAAATTTTTTGGTAAGTCATTTTTCGTTGTTTAACGTAAAATAATTTACAAGAAAAATGTTTTCCCAACTTTTGGATTGTGCCAAACATCGGAAATTTAGGAAAACATCATGATCGTCATCCTTGCCTTTGCCCCTGTTGAAATATCTATATTATTATTATTTTTATTTTTATTTTTATTAGCTGTTTTCAGCCTTTTATTAGGTATTTTATGTAAGATCCTTATTATAATGGGATCATGTAGATAAGATCCCCATAATCATTGGATCACGTAGGTTTTGACAATTTTTTTTTTTTTTTTTTTTAATTTGGTTTCCTTTCTTTGTACCCTATTCTTGTATATAAATATAGTTCTTGGCTCTCGGTTTGAGTACGCTAAAACCCAAAACTTCTTTTTGATATTAGAGCAAAACAAAAACCTTCACCTCCCCAACACCGTCCCCTTCTCTCTCCCTTTCTCCATTTTCCCTCACCTCCGGCGCACCTCCATCTCCTCCTTGCCCTTGCGCCGGACCCCTCGAGTTACCCTCTGTTTTTTACTCCTTTTTTAAGAGAATTCCCTTAGGTTTTTTATGACCTAAGGTCCTTCTAGTGTTTTTTTTCTTTGTGGGCTGTCGGTGTCTGTTCGGCAGCATATTTGGAGGAAAGCACCAATTTTTCCGGGCCTTTTTTTTTTTTTTTCTTTCCACGTGTGGACCGGCCTTATTTTGGTACGATGACTGATTCTAGTAGCCCAAAGGAGAGTTTATACTCGGTCCAGCATACTTATCTTCGGCACATCATACTCCGACACAACAGGTTACTAGTGTGCTGTTGAATGGGCGCAACTTCGTATCTTGGTCCTGTTCTCTTCAACTCTGTATTGGAGGGAAAGAGAAAATTGGTTGGCTTTTGGGTCTAGCCAAGGAACCGGAAAAGACTAAATATATTGCATGGGACATTGACAGGTGCACCATTTTGGGTTGGATCTTCAACTCAATGGAGGAGCGTATCTATAATATGTTCATGTTTCACACTTCCATTTTTCGTCTATAGCGAGCCCTTAACAAGATGTATGCCCATTCCTGCAATGACGTTCATATCTTTTAACTCTATCAAGAGATTGCTCATGCATCTCAAGAGACATCAAACTGAGTATTTTGGGTACTTTCAGTCTACGTGGGAAGAATTAGCACAGTATGAACCTCTCTCCGATTTCTCTGAAGAAGCTGTAACTCTTTTGGTCAACAGACTGGACCGCCAGCATACCTACCAGTTCTTGATGGGTTTACGATCTAAGTATGATGCTTTTAGAAATCAGATCATAAACACCTCTCTTATGCCTGATTTATATGATGCCTTAGCTACTGTTGACCATGAGGAGCATAGATGTCAGATCTCTCAGCCAGTAGTTTTACTAGAGATTCCAGTTCATCAGATGGCTCTTGCTGCTAATTCTAGACTTTTAGAGGGAAAGATTAGTTGTCAACATTGTGGAGCCACAGGTCATGTAAAGGATCGTTGCTTTAAGCTTCATCCCGAGCTAAAGCAAAAATTTTCTCGCAATCGTCCTTCTGGTCGTGGCCGCAATAGACAATACTATTAGTGGGTATACTACTCAACATATTGTTGTCCTCCTGCTTCAACTCTTCCCAGACCATCTTTTCAGGAGTTCAATTAGTTATAGTCCCAGATTGGTCAGCTTCAGCTTCAGGAGCAGTTTGGAGCTTTATCTACCAGGGCTGGCTCTTCAATTCCCACGGCTACTATAGCTATAGGTACTCTTTCTGCTTTTCATGTTAAAGTGGGAAAACCTACTTGGGTTCTAGATTCCGAAGCCAATGATCACATGACTGGTGAGTTGTCATTATTTTCTACTCCCGTTACCCCTGTTAATCGGGCTGTTAGTCTAGCGGATGGGTCAACCACCATTATTCGTAGTAAAGGAGATGTTCATCTATCCTCTGATATTATTTTGCCATCTGTTCTTCATGTTCCTTACTTTGCATTTAATCTTCTATCTGTTAGCAAACTTGCCAAATCACTAAACTGTACATTGATTTTCTTTCCTCATTACTATGTTTTACAGGACCTGTGTTCGAAGAGGATTTTTGGCGGGGGATATGAGCACGATGACCTCTACTACTTTAGGGATCCTCCACCGACACCTCCTTCACTTGCTTCAAGCCTTCAAGCCTCTGTTCTTCCAGTTTCTAGATCTTATGATTTTTCTTTTCAGACTTTAAATTTATGGCATGCTCGCCTTGGGCATGTAAACTTTCAGTATTTATGTCTGTTTTTCCCTTCATTAATAACGGTTTATAAGTATAATAAGTTTCAATGTGAGGTTTGTGAGCTTTCTAAACATACTAGAACTAGTTATATTTCTCATATGCATCGTGCACCTAGTATGTTTGATCTCATACATTCTGATGCGTGGGGCCCTTTTCCTGTTACTGCTTTTTCGGGGCATCGTTATTATGTCACATTCATTGATGATTATTCCCGCTGCACATGGGTATATTCACTTTGTTCACTTAGTTCCTCCAAATGATCAAAACTCAATATAAAACTGTTGTTAGGAATATTAGGTCTGACAATGGTCATGAATATGTTTCCGATGAGTTTCGGTCTCAACTTAACCAACAAGGACTTCATCAACTTACTTGTCCATATACCCCTGAACAAAATGGTGTGGCAGAGCGTAAAAACCGCCAACTAATGTCAGTTGTTCGATGTCGTTTAAGTGGTATGAATTGCCAAAGTCATACTGGCACATGGTGGTTCTTACATCTACTTTTCTCATTAATCATACCCCTAGTAGAGTATTAAATGGTAAGGCCCCCTTACAAGTGCTTCAGCCCGATATTACTCTTTTTTCCATCATGCCTCTGGTTTTTGGATGTACATGTTTTGTTCAGAATCGTAGCCCTTTTCATACTAAACTTGATGACAAGGCCATTAAATATATCTTTTTAGGATACTCTTCAATGTCAAAAGGTTACCGGTGTTATGATCCTGTACACAAACACATGTATCACTCTCTTGATGTCACCTTTCTTGAGCATACCCCTTTTTATGGTTCTAACACTATCTTGCAGGAAATTTCTACTCCCGATCAAGAGGTTTCTCCTCTTGCTCGTCCTCTTCCTGTTTTTCAATAAAAGTCTTCTCTTGTGTTTTCCTTACCCCTTTTGCAGGTTTATTCTCGCCGCCCTCGTGCTCTACCTCCACTGCCTTCATCCTCCTCACATACAGGTTCAGGTATATCTCCTCTCTCTCCTTTACATTTCCCTAACCCTATTCCCGAGTCTCGGTATCCCACTCGGGGAACTTTGTGCTCTATTTGGATTCCTAGTATATCTCTTATAATGGTCTTTCAGGGTCTTATCGAGCCTTTTTAAGCAAACTTGATTCCATTTCCATTCCCAGAAATGTCTCTGAGGCTCTCTGGAATCCCAATTGGATGTCTGTTATGATGGTAGAAATGGATGCTCTGCAGCAAAATGAAACATGGGAGCTTGTATCTCTCCCTCCTGGTGAAAAGACTGTTGGTTGCAAATGGATATTCAATGTTAAATATTTGGCTGATGGCTCTATTGATCGGTATAAGGCCCGTTTGGTGGCCAAGGGTTTACTCAGATTCCTGGTAAAGACTTTAATGATACCTTCGCTCTAGTTGCTAAATTGACCTCAGTTCGTTTCCTTGTCTCCCTGGCTGCCTCTCACAATTGGCCTTTTTTTCATCAGCTTGATGTGAAGAATGCTTTCCTTAATGGTGATCTTCTTGAAACTATTTATATGGATCCTCCACCTGGTTTTCGGGCCGAGGGAGAGTATGCTGGAAAGGTTTGTTGATTGCGGAAGTCTTTGTTGGGTTAAAACAATCTCCTAAAGCTTGGTTCAATCGCTTCAGTGATGTAATTCTATCCATGGAGTTTGTTAGATGCATAGTTATTAAAGGCCCAAGGCGCACCAAGGTGCTAGAAGTCCTTCGGAGTCTAGGCGCGAGGCGTGCGCCTGAGTAAAGTGAGGCGCACAATTGAAAATTTAAACTACCATAATTACATTCATATCTCATAAGTCATATCAACATTCTAAAAATTAATATCAAATATAAAAAAGTAAATCCATCAACTATACAAGCATCCAACAACCATAAAATAGAGTACAAATTTGTTTTCTTGAAAGGCAAAGCAAAATGTGTTTTTTGAATGGCAAAGCAAAGCATAAAAAGAAATAAATATGTTAACAAAAATAAATTGTTAACAAGAATAAAAAAGAAAAGAAAAGAAAAAACAGAGCAAAAAAAAAAAAGACAGAGAGATGAGAGAACTAGACGAAGAGAGATGTAAACAAAGATAAGAAGAGAGGAGAGATCTAGAGGAGGAGAGGGAAAAAAAAAAAAAAAAAAAAAAAAAGAACTGACGTGGCTTCGTTGTTCATCTCTGCAACTAGGGCTCCGTCTTCGTCTCATAATCTCATTCTATCGTTGTTTGGTTAACACTTGGACTCGTGGGCTTTCTTATTTTTTGTATTCTTTTGAACAAAAGTTTCTTATATCGTATAATTGAGCTTTCTTTTTTGCTTATTAAGTTGCCAAAAGTACCCTTTTTGGCTTAAGAAATAGAACAATCATATTTTTTTAAACAAATATAAGTGAGGCGCGTCTAGGCTCACCTCACAAACAGGACGAGGCGCAACCGAGGCGCGCGCCTAGTAAACGTCAGTGAGTCTGAGATGACAACAGGCGCTAAACCTGAGCCTCGAGCCTAGGTGCGCCTTTAACAACACTGGTTAGATGTCATTCTGACCATACATGTTTTATCCACCGTTCCTCCACTGGTCGATGTATCATTCTTCTTGTCTATGTTGATGATATCATCATTACTGGCAATGACATTCCTGGAATTGCTCAAGTAAAGCTTTAATTGGCTAAAGCTTTTGATGTGAAATACCTTGGGTAGCTCAGATATTTCTTAAGAATTGAGGTTGCTAGATCTAAAAAGTGTATCTCTTTATCGCAAAGGAAGTATGTCTTGGATTTTCTTCGAGACACGGGTATGCTTGGGTGTAAACCTGCTTTCACTCCTATGGATCCTAATATGAAGATCTCGACTAAGTCTGGAGATCTCCTCTCTAATCCCTCGTAGTATCAACGCTTGGTAGGAAGATTGATTTATCTTACCAACACCCGTCCTGATTTGGCTTTTGCTGTTAGTGTTGTGAGTCAGTTTATGCACGCTCCTCATACAACTCATATGAATGCAGTATATCATATTCTTCGATATCTTAAGTCCTGTATTCTATTATTCTAGCAGTTAGGTTTGGTTATCCTGTTTCAGTGATGCATACTATACTGGCAGACGTTCCACGTCTGGCTTCTGTACTTTCTATAGAGATCATGTTATATCCTGGAAAAGTAAGAAGCAACTTGTAGTTTCGAGATCTTCAGCAGAGGCTGAGTATCGTGCTACGGCCCAGGGTACTTGTGAGATCTCTAAATTCGATCTTTCTTGGAGGAACTAGGGCTAAGTGAAAAACAGTCCTCAGACTTGTTTTGTAATAATAAGTCAGCCATCATGCTTGTTTCAGATTATGTTCTTCGTGAGAGGACTAAACATATAGAGGTGGACATTCATTTTATCAGAGAGAAGGTTCGTTGGGGGATTATCAAGCCGTGCTTTGTTCGGTCCTCTAATCAGTTGGCAGATGTGTTCACTAAATCTGTTGGTCCATCTTTGCTTCATTCCTCGATTATCAAGCTGGACTTGATTGATATCTTCACTCCAGCTTGAGGGGGAGTGTTGAAATATCTATATTATTTTTATTTTTATTAGCTATTTTCAGCCTTTTATTAGGTGTTTTATGTAAGATCCCTATTATCATGGGATCACGTAGATAAGATTTCCGTAATTTATGGGATTATGTAGATAAGATTCCCATAATCATGGGATCACGTAGATTTTGGCATATTTTTTGTTTTTCTTTTATTTGGTTTCCTTTCTTTGTACCCTATTCTTGTCTATAAATATAGTTCTTGGCTCTCGGTTTGAGTATGCCAAAACCCAAAACTTCTTCTTTTGCCCCGTATAGATGGGGTTGGCTGCATTAATTCTCTTTTTCCATTCTTTCCCACTATATACTATGTCTTCTCTTAGATTTTTTTAAATTGTTTTTAATTACTTCATCTCACATAAATTTTGGTCGGCCTCTTTGTCATTTCCCTTCTAGGCAAACATCTCTTCCTCTTTTAATCGGTGCATCATCGGATTTACGTTGAATATGGCCATACCAACTAAGTCTACTTTTCATAAATTTATCATTTATAGGCGTTATACGTAATGTTCCCCTCACACATTCATTATTTATCTTGTCTCCAGTGTGTCTTCTTGAGCCTAGGCGTGCACGTGAAGTGAGGCTCACATTAAAAATAAATAATTTATTATTAAAGCATTTATATTCCATATTAAAGGCCCAAATGTTGTCAAATGCGCGCCTGGGCACACAACAGGTGCATGCACGCCTTTGACAACACTGCTTATCTCTTCTAATTATTCCTATCATCCAACGTAGCATTCTCATTTCCGCTAAAGAATGTGTTGGATTTGTATCTTTATCAAAGGGCAACACTATGCTCTATACAACATTGCCTAATAACCGTTCTATAGAATTTTTCTTTTAATTTATTTGGTATTCGTTTGTCACTAAGGATTCCATTAGCTTGCCTCCATTTTGTCCACCCTCCTCCAATCTTACCTACTACATCACCATCTTTTGTAATATTGATCCTAGGTAACAAAACTAATTATTTCGAGTAACTATTTGGTCTTGAATTGTAATATTTATTTTGCTAATGTTTGCTACTTTATCAAATTTACATTCCATATATTCTGATTTAGTTTTACTAATTTTTAGTCCTCTTGATTCTAAAGCCTTTCTCCATGTTTCTAATTTTGTTGCTAAGGCTTCCGTAGATGTTTCTGCTAATACTTTGTCATCCACAAATAATACACACTATGGAATCTTTTCTTGAATTTCTTTCATTATTTCATCTAATATTATTGCAAACAAGTATGGACTCAACACCAATCCTTGGTAGGGAATTCGTTAGTTTCCCCGCATGTAGTGTTAACTCTGGTCAATGTCTCACTATACATATTATGAGGAAAACAAGTACCGGTACAACTTAATGTTTAATATGCAAGTCTTTTTGTTTACTCCAATATTCTCCTATTAGTTGTGTTATAAGTATATGGCTTTCATAGTGGATCTACCTGGCATAAATCTGAATTGACTATCAGAAGTTGAGGTTTCTTTCCTTTGTCTTGGCTCAATTATCCTTTCCCATAATTTCATTTTATGAATCATTAATTTAATTCCTCTATAATTTTCACAACTTTGTATATCTTCCTTATTTTTATAAATTGGTGCTATTGTGTTTTTCCTCCACTCACCAGCCGTCTTAGAATTTTGTTAAACAACTCCGTTAACTAATCAATGCTTATCTTTCCTAAAGTTCTCCAAACTTCTATAGGTATGTTATTCGGTCCAATGGTCTCATTATTACCCATTTTTTGTTCCTAATTTTTCATATAAATGTTTTTTGTAAAAAACATTGGCAAGAAATTCACTCAAAAACCCACGTTGCACCTTTAGGGGACTTGAACCTCGAACTTCGACTTTGAAAGGTGAGGAAGTATCACTAAGCTCCAACCTTTGGTGGTACATTTTGTTTACTTTTGGCTACTATCTTTTTAGCTTCATTTTTTTTTTCCCTCTAAATCCTCTCGTTTCTTACTTTTTTTACTCTTTATTTTATTTTTTATTACTAGTTGTATTTTATCATTCCGCCACCATATTTCTTTTTTAGTAAATTTCTCTCCCTTAGTTTCACCTAAAGTTTCTTTTGCTATGCTCCTAATACAACCTACCATTTTGGACCACAAGTTTTTTATATCTTCCTTCCATTCCCATGTTGTTTCTTGTAGTATTTTTTTTCTCTAAGGACTAGTTTGGTATGGTGGAATGGAATAAAAGAAAGTGAAATGGAATGGTTTTTTTTTCCATTCTCGTGTTTGGTGCCAATTTTAAAGTTGGAATCATCATTCCCCACTATTCTTGGAGAATGCCCATTCCATCAAAATCATTCCACTTTTAAACAAAAGGAATGACCATTCCATTCTCTTCTCATTCCATTCCCCACCTCCATTCTCATTCCATTCCAATTCATTCCACCACACCAAACTAGCCCTAAAAGTTATCCCTTTATTACCTTCCAAATAAACACATTTGTTTTTTCATTACTTCTTGATTTTTGATTCTTTGATCAATAATAGGTCTAATACTAATAGTCGATGTTGGTTTGTCAAACTTTCTCCCGGAATTACTTTACACATGCCTCATTCTTCTCATAAGCAATAGTCGATTTGGGTTTTATTTGTACCACTCTTATAAATGTTTAAATGTTCTTTTCATATGCCTTTGCAAATTCTAAGAGTGTTTTCCCGTCCTCATTTCTTTCTCCGAAGTCCCCTCCCTACACGCCCATTGAAATCACCTCCTATGACTATACTTTTTTATATAGTTTGTATTATTTCATCTAAAGATCCCAAAATGTCGTCTTTATATTTTCATCTAGTGCTCCTTGTGGCACGGAACCACTTATTATGTTTAATATCATTGTATCTAACACTAGTTTAATGTTTAATATCATGTTGTAGTGTCCTTCATTACCCTTTTCTATGTGATGTATATTGTTAAAGAATTGCTTTCTGAAGTTAATCTATAAATTTCATATTCTAATAGTTGGATTTTTGTGCTTCTTTCATGGAGAAGTAAGATGCGTTTCTGGAGCTCCCTTGCAATGTTTACAATGTTTAAGAAACTTGTGTTCACAGTTCAGCACCATTTATCATTGCTTTCTATAGTTATTGTTTTATGTTGTGATCGTAGACTACCTAAAATGCAGATTGTTAGCATTTTATTGGTCAATGCAGGTCACAAGACGATGGTCTCCGAAGCAGCGCAAGATGATAGCATTAGTCAATCAGGTGGCTCTCCTTCAAAAAAAATTTAAGTATTGCAACTCATTCCTTAAGGCTCGAAATGATATTAAGTTTGCAATTAAACTTGCAAGAGAAGCAATCGACTCTCAGATTAATAGACCTGCAGAAGCTAGTGGTGTTAAGAATTTGCGCGCTAATTGTGTCATCTGTTTAGAAGACACTGATGTTGGGCAGATGTTCTCAGTTGATGGTTGCATGCACCGCTTTTGCTTTTCTTGCATGAAGCAGCATGTAGAAGTGAAGCTGCTTCACGGGATGGTGCCTAAATGCCCTCAGGAAGGCTGTATTTCTGAACTCAAACTTGAAAGCTGTAAAAAATTCTTGACACCTAAATTAATTGAGATTATGAGCCAACGCATCAGGGAAGCTTCAATTCCTGTTACCGAGAAAGTTTATTGCCCATATCCCAAGTGCTCAGCATTGATGTCGAAAAGTGATGTTTTTGAATATTCTAGAACCGCATTTGGTAGCGTTAGACATGCAGTCAGGAAATGCACAACTTGTCAGGCTGACTTCTGTATCCATTGCAAGGTTCCTTGGCACAGTAACATGACCTGTTTCGAGTACAAAAGAAAAAATCCAAATCACCATACAGAAGAATCAAAGTTAAAGACTCTTGCAGCAAAGAATTTATGGCGTCAGTGTGTAAAGTGCAACCATATGATTGAACTTGAGACAGGGTGCTACCACATGACTTGCAGGTGCTTAGCTAACATTTCCAAGTTTACTCATCTTTGCTGTCTTGTTCATGTAGTGTTGTGGATTACCTCGAATGCTTACTCATGAAAAGAAACCAAAAACCAAAAATAAAAATACAAAGACAGTGAATGCTTCCTGAGATTTTTGACATTTGTAGTTTAAAACTGTTTATATTGTTTCCATTTTAAGGCATGGCTGCAGTCAAATTAGAACTTACATTGCAGCTTACTTTTTCTGACCACGCTGATATTACTCTCATGCTTCTTATTTTACATAATTAGAAAGCATAGATTCAACTATCTTCAAATGTTTGGCTGATTTGCTCCATGTTTTTCATTTTACATAATTAAAAAGTTGGGGGCTTCCCTTTTGGCTTTTTTTTCATCATCGTCTCTTTCTTTTTCAAATATAAGTTCCTCATTTATGCGAAACAATGTTATAATTGTTCTTTACCTTATTCAATTTGAATATTTCAGTAAAAAGCAGAGTGGTTTTCTTAGTTTTTAAGTTTTATGTGCCATACATAAGAAAATAGTAGAATTAATAGATTGAAGGAAATTTTCTACATTTGGCGGTAAGCCGGTAACAATAAAAAATTTATTTTATACGTTATTTTTGTTTATAATGTTTTTGGTGGTGGTGGAGGTGGGGGAGGGGTTGGGTTGGGAACCAAGAAAAGTTTGTGTGAGGATTCATTTATACCCCGGCTCTTACTCCCATATCTATCTATTATTAGTTTAAAATGCCTTTTTTTAAGAATGAAAATAATGGCAATAGGAAAATGCAAAGTAATATCTTCCTTATAATTCTTCCCGTCTGTTGTGACAACAATTGTGTTTCATGCTCGCGTTGTTCTTGCAGATGTGGGTATGAGTTCTGCTATAACTGTGGAGGTGAGTGGAAGGAGAAGAAAGCTACGTGTTCCTGCCCATTGTGGGATGAGGATAACATTGTGGATGACGAAGACTTAGACGAGTTTGATGAAGAGGATGAAGAGTTTGATGAAGAGGATGACGATGATGGCTTTGATTCTGATTCAGATGATTATTATTGAACATAAAAATTACCTCAAGGTCTCCACCTTTTCTTCTGCGAGGTTTTGATGGTCAGTATGTATGTTTATATTATTTTCTTTCAATCTTCTCTTCTCCTCTCCTCTGTTTGTGGTGGTGGTGATGGACTCGAGGAGTCAAGCATGAAATGCAATAAACCTTTTTGCTTATAACTCTTTTATCTTCCTTTTCTAGGTGCACAAACTGGTTTCGGGTCCATGAAACATGTAATTTGAAATTCTATATATTCTTATTTGTCGCTCCATATCTCTCTCCCACGAGGGTTATTACTTGGTGCAATAATATAAAATGAGAATGACAAGCACGAGGCTCGTCATTACTTAATGCATTTGATTGTTGTATTAATTGGCTTATAGATTGTGAATTGTGATGATGCCATTGGAATTGGCCCTGGCATACATACATACTGCAACCACTTCAGTGTATGTATTATGTATATGCAGATTGTGGCGTGGAGGGTGAAGAAGCAGCCCTAAACAAAGGGCCTAACTGCTTTGTCCATGTATACATATTTTGATATCAAGCACACGACAAACACTCTTGAATTTTATGTATGGTTTCTTATATATAATTGGGTGGATTAGGAATAATGTTGTAGAGGGGGAATTTCAAACAAAATTTTCTTTTTTGTCTCTCCTTGTGATCCATTTATTAGGAGGAAGGAGTCCAATGAAAGAAATGAGGAAAATCAGGATTCTTAGCATTCTTGCTCATCATTAGAAAGTTTAAGTTGCTCATCCTTGTATCAAAGAGAGAAGGGTTTTCTGGAAAGTACTCGATGATCATATGATTTGTAATCAATTGGCCGATTGAAATTTTATTATTATTATTATTTTTTATTGTTTCTCTTGTTTTGCTTTCCAATGTCAACATTTCAAAGAAACACAATTAAGACATTTAAGTTCTATGTTTGGTCCAATTAGATTGAAGTGATTGCATTATAACACTTGGACTGCACATGTGCATGGTCTAATAGATATAATTTGACTATGTGAATATTAAAACATTTGGGGAGGAACATAATTTGATGACAACAATTAGATTGAAGACATCAAAGTGCCATGCACATGTGCTGTCCAATTGTTGTAATGCAATCACTTCGATCTAATTGTAATCTTCAATAATGGTTGAAACTTGATTTATTCATATAGGGAATGAATGCACCCATCTTCCTCAGCAAATGTTTTAATATTCACATAGTCAAATTATATCTATTAATCTCGATTTACTTGGCAAAAACTTAACTATTTGGTGATAATCCAAGGTGCCACCATCTTTGAACTCATAAACGAGATATATAATTTGTCCGTCGTATCCAATTAATTTGATGATGTTTGGGTGAATTAGCTATGGTAGCCATTGTACCTCAGCCTGCAAAAAACAGAAATAGAAACAAATAGGTTGTCATTTACATAAATTAATACAAGATGCCTCCAAGCCTCAGCATGTGAAACTTTTTAATTTTCATTATTTATAATGATATTTATGGTAATTTATCAATGGTGCTTCAGGCATTCAGTGGCTGCGTTTGGAGTTATCAAATCAATAATTTTTGTAAGTTATACACCATGACAGAATTTGGTGCTCCTTAAAGTATGACTAATCATGGTGAATTGAAACTAGCAAAGCCTATTTTAATTCACTTGTTTCTCCTACCGACATTCTAATTGGTCACACAACCATCATACATGTCTTTATTGCGTCAATGTATCCCATTGTGACGTCTTTTTCTTTTCTAAAATCTCCATATTAAATCTCTAGGTACGGCTTTCTTCGAATCAATAAAAACCATATAGAGATCTCTCACCTTCTCACTATATTTTTCCATGAGTCTCCTCAACAAGTAAATAGTCTCCATCATTGACCTTAACTCGGCATGAATCTAAATTGATTTTCTAACAATTCAGTCTCTCGTCTTAGGCGTTCAATCACTCTCTCCCAAAATTTCATAGTGTGACTCATTAATTTAATACCGTGATAATTATTACGACTTTGTATGTCTCTATTATTTATATATATAAGCATTATGATACTTTTGCACCACTCATCAGACATCTCTTAGTTGTTGTTATCTTATTAAACAATTTTTGTTAACCGACACAAGCCAATTTCTCCTAGAATTTTCTTGAGTAGGATAATATACATATCATAATCATACTGTAATTATTTTTTTAGAGTTTGTTGATTTGCCTCTTATTATTTCTCTTTTATGTCATATCAATGATTTGGTGATAGTGGAGGAAGAATTGGTATAAACTATGAAGATTTTCTTATTTAGAAATAATGGCAGGCTAGTTTAGCTGGCTAGGCATTTTTGTTTTGATGGCACTTCTCTTTAAAAAAATCTCCATAAAGTATTCAATTGTTGTCGTTTATTACCAACCATAAAAGGATAAGGGATTTATTGACTTTATGAAGATATTATTCATTGTTCAATTTTTGCAGTATTTCTTACTCCATCTGCTTTCACAATTGATTTAGGGTAAGATAAAAGTAAAACCAAACAGATTTCAATTTTCTTTATTATCTGGAAATTTGTATTAATGCAATCTATACAAATGACACATCCTTATATATATATATATATATTGATAAGTACAAAATGACACATACTTATATATTTCTGGGGCAATCACTTAACGTGATTCTTCCAACCTGTGATACGCATCATTCGTGTTGGAGTTGGACTACTCAAATCATTATAACCATTTGTTACGCTAACCAGCAGTATGGGGGCAAAAAGGACATTCAACTTTTACACGAAGGTATAAATTAATATTCCAACTATTACGAGAAGTAACTTATATCAAATGTGCAGTTTAATTTCCCAAATTTTTTGCATACAAGTTCATCTCCATTATGGCTAAGCTACCATTGATGGTTTATAATTTTAAGTCTTATTTTATTTTGAATACACAAATCAAATCAAAGTTGTATTTGAGAGTATCGAATCGATGCATTAAATTTGAAATTGGATTCGGTGCCTTGCCCACTAATTTCAAATCCAATGTGCTCGTTCTGTAATTCTAAAAAAAATAATATATCTTTCGAATCTGAATAAATATTGTGTAAGTTATACTTGAATTTCATCACTCTGACATGATATGATGGGGCTCACACCTTCCCTTTACGTATCTGACATTTTTTTGGAGAATTATTCATTTCAAAAATATTTTAATTAATCGCAGTCACAACCTCTCCCACAGTCTATTAAAAATATATATATATATATATATATACACTCCGTATATAAAGAAGGGTCTGACATGTTTTAGTCTAATTGCTTTGTGCTTGTACCACTTTCTCTTTCAACCTAGGCAGTACATTTGACAAAGCTCTTAAAGAGACTTCAACTTTCAATACAAAACGTAGGTGGATCCTCTCATGCACATTTTGATGAACATGCATTGAGAACGTAACACATATCGAGTGTCAACGTAATACTTGTTGCATTGAAAAATCACACACACAACATCATTATATTAAAAAGCGACACATCTAATGCTATTATAAAATTTAAAAATCATTCTACCGAAAAATAATACTTATAATATCATTACATTGGTAACGTAACACATGCAATATTCTCGAATACGATTGCATTGAGAACGGAACACATGCAACATTCTTGATCATGGTCGTATTTAATTATAGACCTACCGCATCCAACGGTTTAGAAACAACCGTCCTAATGGCATCAGCAAGCATGTAACTCACATTCTCTCTTAAGCGTTAGTAGGTTTTAGAGAGTCGTCCAACATGAACGCACATGGGCATCAAAAAAGGTCAACCATGGTCCATAATTGTTCCACCTTTTTGCACCCACAAATGAGAGCCATACATTATGATACCCCTTACAAAAAGAAAGAAAACAACCCTAAACCAAACCACAAAGGGAATTTAAAATAAAAGCCAAACAAAAACCATACCATGATACACTACAATTTAGTGAATTTTATACGGCTTGCCCACTGTAAGTCTAGGCTTGTCCACTGTTTGGTGACTAGGGCTGTCTTTGGACCGGTAGGATTTCAAAGAAATTGAATTTCTTAAAGAATTTCAGCAAGCTAGAATGGAATAAGTTTATCTAAATTCGTACCCGTCCTATTTAATTATGAAAAAATTCATACCCGTCTCATATCCGGCCCCTCAAGAAATATGTGTACCTATGCTCGTCCCGCCCTGTTTACTTTTTTTTTTTTTTTTACTTTCTGTGTTATCTATATAAATAAATTAATAAAATCTATACAATGTAAATAATTATATATGTGTGAATACAATAATGTACATACATCTATAACACACACACACACATATAAATAAAGTATAAAGAGCCGGACATATGTTTTTCAGAACTCGTACCCGCGATGAGGACGAGTTTAAATTATAAATCCTTATCTAGGGTTTATGTAAGTATTAAAAAAAAAAAAAAAAACATTTATTAAATAAATAAATAAAAGAGTGGTTACTTGGAAAAAGGATTTATAATTTTGAATCTAATTTTTTTTTTTTTTCCCTGTCCAACATATAATTTTGAATCTAATAACTCATGGTTAAAGTATCCATGAAAAATTGAGATATTAATATCTTTATTAAACTAAACTAATTATTAACCTGTAAAAAGATATTAATTTCTTTATTAAACTCAACTAATTATTAACTCGTACCAAAATATTAATTTCTTTATTAAACTAAACTAAAGTATTAACTAGTAGTAATTGCGTCACTTTCCAAAAATTATTCTTTCACCGGACGGTAACGGCCGTTGCTCCAACCAAGTAAACCACCAACCCCACCACATGCAAAATGCCAACCGCCGCTGACGCGTTACCTTGCCCACGTGGACAAATCTCCACCCTTAAATCTCCTTTGTACCCTATCTCCTCACCAACCACCCCCCAGACTCTCGTTAAATTACACTCTGGTCCCCTCTCTTCACCTAAAAAACTCAAAAACAACCATTCATGGCAAACAAAAAACAAAATTCTCTCTCTATATCTGTCTCTCATTCTCACTCTATCTCTTTCTTTCTCCATCTCTTTCTCTCTCTATATAGAGAGTTTGTCCTTGTCTTCACCGAATACATATGGACCTTTCGCACATCAATTTAGTCATCGTCAAAGTGTCAATGGTCCATAAATAACCATCAGTCAAGCTTAAAATTCACGCCATTGAAGTGGTTTTTGATCGTCCTAGAGTGATTCAATTCAATTCTCTCAGTTCGAATCATGTCGGAGGCTAACGATACAAGGTCATGGAGAGAAGAGTTTCCAGGTCTAGTGGGGGACACAGGGATTCGATACGCCGCCGCCTCCGGCGGTGGCGGAGGAATCGGAGTTAGGACCTCGGCGGCGGCAGAATTTGGAGTCAAAAGCGGTGGCGAGTCGGAGACTTGGAAGTATCATGCGGTTGAGTTTGCGAAGGGTTTGGGGGAGATGAGTGTAGAGTTTGGTAGAGGTTGTAGAGATATAGTGAAGCAGAATTTTCTAACAGAGGATTCGTATGTCGTGAGGAAGTTTAGGGGTCCATGTGTGAAGGCTTGTGGGAAATTGAGATTCCTGAATGAGTATTTGCCGGAGGATCGCGATCCAATTCACTCCTGGACTGTGATATTCTTCGTTTTCATTCTTGCTCTTGGAGGTACCTTTGAGGATTTTAATATAGAATTGTTTCGTTACTTTTTGCTCTGTTTGGTTGACGGGAAAATGTAGGAAAACGAGAGAAACTATTAATTTCGTATCTTAAATTCTTCATTAGCTGGACTCTAGAACAAAAAACAACAGTTGAGCGGAATATAAACATTTTTGGCTTGATTGATGTGAATTGAGTTTATCATTTTTCTCGGTGACCATAATGAAGTTTAACAAAAGCAGCTTGGTTTTGTTTATGTTATTATTATTTATTTATTTTTCTTGCTCTCTTCACAACCAAACAGAATATTAGAGAATCTTGGGACTTCTATTGTGGTATTCCAAATTTCAGTCATGTTAGAAGATCATAATTCATTTTCCATTGGAACTTATTTTGTTGTGTTGTGGTTTGGGCTCATCATTATTCGTACATCTTGGTACCAATTCTTTCTAAATCCCATGTTGATGGAGTTTCATGCGCTTTTATAGTATTTTCTCTGTGAGTGGTTAATCAGTCTTTCATCAATTGTTCAGAAATTAGTACCTCTTATTTGATTAATTGAAGTTCAATAGCTTAGTGTGACACATTATTTGTTCAGAAATTAGTACCTCTTATTTGATTAATTGAAGTTCAATAGCTTAGGGGGAACACCATATTGCGTCACAGGTTACTAGTCCCAGTAGTCAACTATTTAATTTTTCATGAATGATATGAGAGAACTGGCTATGCTTTTGGAGAATTCTACTGTGTCATCCCTGTACCCCAAACCAGAATATATAATTTGGTCATATCTCCTAACTATTTTGGTGCTGATATTGTTCTCTTTGGTTATCTATTTTGATTTGAATTGCCATATCTCAGTTAAACTCATTTTCCACATCTGTTTTTTCCCAATTTTATAGAGGACTTTACTAGGCTATCAATCAGAAAATTGAACTCTTGTACTTATCTTGCAAAACACTTCCCTACCAACATGTTGTGGATATTATTAGAGCACTTGCTGAATCAGCTTTGGTTGACTGTGCATGGAGCCCGTGGGATTCGGGATGATGAATTCCATGAAGCAACTATGCAGGGGATAGTCATATGGTATGGCATTGCTTTCATAAGTCATACAGGCATATCTATAATAAGCTTTTTTGTCCCCACTTCCAGTGTCAATTTTTAAGTGCTCCTGCAGCAACACAAGCAGCGGATATTTTTACTTCTTTTTGCGTTTGTAATGACTTAATTAGATGAAAGGCAATGGAGCTCTTGGAACTGGGAATGATGCCTCGTTGTCTTACAGAAATTGAGATTCTAGGAAAAGTTATGGAAGGGCTTGCGGAGAGTTGAAGCTGTTAAGAACTTTCTCAATTGTCAAAGTACCCATGATATTTGTGAAGCTAATGCAAATATGGGATTAAGCTCTCCAGTCTGTCATATACAACTACAGCTTAATTAACCGCTGAAATTTTAAGGAAACTGAACATGGAGGAGTTTGCCAAAGACTAGTGATGAAATTTTAGGGCTTGATGCATTTGCTATAGACTGGTGGTGATTGTTGCAAATAAATTTGTATGTCTTACTCTGCCTATGTATCTGTATAAGTTTGTGGGTGTGGGTGAATAAATTTTTTTAGATAAATATGACGTCTCTCAGCGCTCTGCATAATCAGTGGAGACTGGAGAGAACTGAACCTTTATAAGAAGTGAAGCGGATTTGTTACTCATTAATCATTATGTATGAACCTTGTTTCCTCCTGGATAATTTCTGTTTTTGCTCACTAGCTCAGTAGTTTCGGTGTTTCTTTATTGTCTTGTATAATATTTGAGTATTTGATGTTCTTCCACAAGATTAGTATTTGAAATACTTGAGTTATCGAGTACGCGACTGATTTTTTCTTTGTTGTCATACCATCATTGAGCATCTTACCCAACACAGTTAACTGGTCTGCAGCACTGTATGCAAATACTGAATATGACACTACTACACCATTGGTAAAGAAAATGCGTATACATCCTCCTAATGCTAGTCGTATATTGCTACCGGATGGCAGACACTTGGCTTATCAAGAGCAAGGTGTTCCAGCTCAGAGAGCAAGGTTTTCCATGATTGTTCCACATTCTTTTCTTTCATCCCGACTTGCAGGTAGAAATATCTTTCCATCGAATGTTTTTATCAAAGTGGCTTAATTAAAGAGTTGATTAGTAACTCCTCTTGGGTGCAAACAATTCCTTGGGCGGGGTTGGGGGGGACGGTTGTGGTGGCATGCGTTAGTATCAACTAAGAAAAAAAAAAAGAGTTGATTAGTAATACCTTTTCATGCTGATATGTGCACATATTCAATTTGTTATTTATTATGTTAAAATAGGAATACCTGGTTTAAAAGATTCACTTCTGCAAGAATTCGGCATTCGCGTGGTGACTTATGATCTTCCGGGTTTTGGGGAAAGTGATCCGCATCCAAAGAGAAACCTTGAATCATCAGCTCTTGATATGTTACATTTGTCATATGCTGTGGGTATTACTGAAAAGTTCTGGGTGGTGGGATACTCGGGAGGTAGCATACATGCTTGGGCTGCACTCAGATACATTCCTGATAGACTTGCAGGTATTTGCTCTTTTTCATCTGTATTTCTGTTCATTTGTCATGTTCATACTGAATACTGCTCTGAAATGGTTGCTTAGGATCAGCACAACTGCATTTGCATCAGCCGATTTTTGTGGAATAAATTTGGCTGTAATTAGGTTATCTTGGTATTGTATTGTTCAAACAGTTAGAACCAATACATTCTTTTTCTTTCCCTCAGTATATGATTTGTTTTGGTACAATAATGGACAAGAATTCTGGTTTCTTACTTTAGGGTTCAATATGGCACTCATACTTGCAATAAATGAATATTTGAAAAATTGTACTTAATGATCTATTAAGAGTATGATCCTCTCACTAGGACTTATAAAAGCTTTTGAATAAATGAATGGCATGTGTGCAGCCAATTCCAGATGCTTTAATGAGGGTGTAAAATAGCAGTTAAACTCTGAAGCTTGCAAATTCTTAAAAAGGATAAAGCCTTAAGTACACCCTTATATTGGAATGGGATATCCAATTCATACGTTATTACGTGATTTTATCATGCTGCAATCCAGTATAGTTGTAGCAGTTGAGGAATGACAATATATTTTTGTTTAACTGAAAACACGTATGGCAGTGTGCATCTGCAGGAATGCTACCAAGTGTGTGTAAGAGATTTTTAAAATGCGTTTTAGGCAGGATGGATAATGAACTGATTTTTATTCTATTAGATGAATTAGTCTCTAATCCAATTTTGACCAAATTTCAGGCGCAGCAATGGTTGCTCCAATGGTTAATCCATATGAACCAAGCATGACTAAGGGAGAGAGGTCTAGAACCTGGGAGAAATGGACACCAAGAAGGAAACTGATGTACATTTTAGCTCACAGATTTCCTAGATTACTTTCTTGTCTCTACCGCCGAAGCTTTTTGTCAGGAAAGCATGGTCAAATAGACAAGTGGTTATCATTGTCGCTTGGAAATTGGGTGAGCTATCTTGGCTACTTATCACTGAGCTGTACCAACTTAGGTCTTGATTACATTCTTATACATTAGTCTTCTAGTCGTTTATAAATTTTGATTGAGGAGATATATTTTAATAAGATATTAGAAACAAAATTACTTATCAAAAAAAAAAAGATATTAGAAACAAAATCATTACAAAAAAATCGACTGACAATTTGGCTTGGGAACACTGATGGTGTTGGCACAGCTAACAAAACATGGCAGGTGCTTGTACTGAAGGGGAATTGTTTATATAAATACACACACACACAGATGTATTCATGCATATTCATTTTATGGTTCTTAGTGAAGACATTGTTGATTTGTCTAGGATAGAGTTTTGATAGAGGAACCGAAGTTTGAAGAATTTTGGCAGAGGGATGTGGAGGAATCAGTGCGACAGAGAAATGTAAAACCATTTGTGGAGGAAGCTGTCTTGCAGGTTTCAAATTGGGGTTTCAGACTTGCAGACCTTAAAATACAGAAGAAACACCGTGGTAAAGGCATCATTCAATGGCTTAAATCTATGTACAGTCAGACAGAAGAAGAATTGACAGGCTTTCTTGGCCCAATACAGATCTGGCAGGTCAGTGGACGTCTTCCTGGTCTTGTTACTGAGTCACTAAGAGTAAGACTTTAGGCAGTAGATGCTATCAAGATAATTTGGTATGTATACTCTTGTGTGATCCTCCCCATCTTATTCTGTGTTTCTTGTATTTTGACCATGTTGTAGTGATCATGTAAGATCACCAACATGGAGATATATATATTGCGGAGCTTGCTTTTCTTCATGCTAGATGAAATGATTGTGGCCACTCTCTTAAAGCAGGGTTGTAGTTTAAGGTGGTTAAGGGAAAAAGGATAATGCTTGAAATCGCTTGAAACTGGGCTTACTTTCTTCAGTGTCTCAAACATTTTCCCATCCTTTTCCTACTTTCCAAGATTTAGACAGAGCTTAAGAAAATTATTTGCCGAAATGTTGTAAATTCTGGATGCATGGTGATATAGATTGCAGATAAAAATAGTCGTTTGTTGTGAGCTACTCCTTCTGGAAACTATCTTAAGGCCACAAATTGTGTAATGAGAATCAAAGACTTAGATATGTATTATATATGTTCTTCAGAGGTATTATCAGTTTCAAATGTCAGTTAAAAGTTTTATTTATGCTGACTTCTCTTTTCTATTGTGAACGTTTCAATGCTGAACAGGGGATGGATGATATGGTGGTCCCACCGTCAATGACTGATTTCGTGCAGCGAGTTCTACCAAGTGCTATGGTGCATAAGCTCCGTTACGATGGCCATTTCAGCTATTTTTATTTCTGTGATGGATGCCATAGACACATTGTCTCTACACTTTTCGGGAACCCTCAAGGCCCGCTTGCTATTCAAGTGGATATAGATGATACTCACGTCAAAGAAGATACTGAAGACACGGGAGAAATAAACCTCGGCATTTCTGCCTTGGACTGATATCATTTTTGCAATTTGATTCAACAAATCCTGATGTATATACCATAGGCTTGCTCCACCAACCGTGGAGCTAAAAGTTCTAAAATTAGTGTCATTAGTTTTACTTCAGTAATAATAGACCAATACCAGTTGATGGGTAGAGTATACTTGGAAACTTGTAGGAAGACACTTTGGCCGCAAAAAAGAGAACACAATTCACTCTTGTCATATTCCTATTCACTGCAATATTATATAATGACTCCTGAGCTCAATTATGCTCAGTTTGGCTATTATCAGAAGTGTTAATGACCTGTGAATAGAAGATTAATTTTGTTTCTGGGAAACCAAGTTTTTTTTCTGCCCAAAGTTTTGTTATTGGCCAGGAATTTAGCAGAGAAAGAACATTAGTAGCCATTGATTTAAGCCGGTTCTGCGATCTCTGTACTCAGGGCTGAGATATCATGAGGATCATAGTATGTCAAGCTAATTTTGAACGAATTTAACTAAAGTAACTTCTTTTGTTAATCCCGTAGAGTTTGAAGTTTAAACAGGTACATTGCTCTTATAGAACCTTCAACCTTCTATTTTGGATAGTACTTTCATGTTGCTTTTACCGGGAATGATACAATATGTAACAACTAAAGTTTAAAGAAGATATTTCAAAGAGAAATTCAAATTTAAGCAGAGCTTGAAGTTAAAGATTTTATTACGATTTTATTGCTCCAACCCCAAGCAAATTCAAATCCGCAGATCAAACTGTGTTGCTTCTTTGCAATTGAGGACCATTTCTTCCTTCAACTGGGACCAGCAGATTAGATCCAAAACCATTAGCAACTCTGTTCCTTCCGTAGATTGGAATCAATCCTCGACCATCCTCGATGTCTTCATCCATGGCTGTTGAACCCTCCTTGCACGGTGGCCCGATGAGCCACGTGAGGTCACATATTCCGGCATTGTGGGACAAGATGATCACAAAGGATAGGAGCAGCTGAATGATCCATGGGGCGGTGGCGAGAATTGTGCCGGCAATGGCGAAGATTTCGACGTAAATGAGTTGTTGGGTGTTGGCGGTGGCGAAGCGGAAGAGCAATGCACCAAGGATGGTGATCCAGAGAGAGTGGATTAGGATTGAGCGGAGGCTAAAGCCTTTGGTGTTAGACTGTTTGGCCTTCATTTTCTTGGGTTTTGTGTTGGAAATGAGAGGGAAACCTTTTTAAATTGAAGTTTGGTTTTGTCAAGAGTTCCATTCAAGTGCAAAGACTATCCTCTGAATTTAAAAAGAAACACTCTAATCCAATAAGGAGGATATGTCAATTTCAAAAAGCTTTTAATAAAATTATTGTTAAATTTATGTAAATTTATTACTTTTACGCTGGGAAAAGGTTTTGTTGTTGTGTGGTTTCACGGTAAAATCGTATAAAAGTAGGTAATCTAATTACTCCATATTGCATTTTGCAATTTATCCAGAATTTACAATTTTTGTATGGAGATGGATCAAATTGAAAGACATGTTTATTTATTTATTTTTTTTCACCAGCGAAGCTGGATTTTTATTATTGACAGTGATAAGATGTAAAATTTAAATCACATTTCTCTTTTAGACGTGCTATAATGCTTTGACATTTGTTTTTCATAGAAAATTAAAATTCAATACAAAAATTCGTTTGTGCCATCTCCTAAAGCCGATAAAGGCTAGAAAAATTTATTAAAAAGTTATTGGGTTCTTTAAAAAAAAAAAATTAAATAAAAAAATAGATGGACAACATAGGGTGAAGAATTTGGATTTTTTTCCTTTTTTTTTCTTTTTTTGCTATTAGCAAGAAACAATTCTCACCATTTACTTTAAAAAATAAAAAAATACCGATGAGTCCACAAGACCTCTATAAAAAAAATTGATAGAATGTAAAGTAAATCCCTTGTAACAACACCAAGTCAAGTCCTTAACTAAAAAAAAAAAACACCAACTCAAGTTAATTACAATAAATTAATGCCACCAACTCAAGTTAATTACAATAAATTAATGCCACTATTCCACCATGACAATAAATTAATGGCACTATTCCACCCACGATCGCCTGTCCTTAAGCCTGTTTGCGATATATAATAGTATAATACTCCCTAGTATTAATATTTGATGGGAATCACATAACATATTATGATGGAATGCACGTGAAAGGTCTTGACCAATCCAACCCTTGAAATATACATACATATATATATATATATAACATATTATGATGGAATGCACGTGAAAGGTCTTGACCAATCCAACCCTTGAAATATACATACATACATACATATATATATATATTAGTGTTACAAGGGTAGATTTGTTTCTTATCGGATTCTAATAAGGAAATAATTGAGTATAAATAGGTAGATATGTATTGGTGGATATGCAATTATTCAACAATTTAAGTTTTTGAATAAATGGGCAAGCGCCCACTCGTTGCAGTTAGTATCAAAGTTAGACCCAATCTTTGATCTGGTGCCACGCCAAGCGCACGATCCAGAAGGCATCCTGGTGAACCATCCGGATAACAAGGTGGCCCGATCGCAACAAGGGCGTTGCCGTTGCGAGTTCGGGAGGGGGAGAATGTTACAAAGAGAGATTTGTCTCGTATCGAATCCGGATGGAAGAGTGATTGGGTATAAATGGGTGGGTATGCAGCACTACTCAATAGTTTTAATTTTTAAGTAAATGGGCAAGCGTCTACCTGTTACAATTAGGTAGTACAAGTATTGAAAAATTAGTAAGAAATTGGTCATCTTCTAACGGTTTAATTATTCTAAAATTTCAACTATTGACTTGTCACTATAGGGACTCAAATTCTTATTAGTCCATTTGGGAGGTTGAGGAGATACAATTAGGCCACAAAACTTTTATGTTGTCTTTAGTGTGCAGGAATGAAATGGAATGGAAGTGAGAATGGAATGAGAATGGGAATGGGAATGGAATGGTCTTCTCATTCTATTATTTATTTGCAAATATGAAATGTGTTGAAATTGAATGATAATAACCATTCTAGTGTTTGATTTGACTGCTTTAAAATTTAGAATATAATGAATTTCAAATTAAAATTTTCAAAATACCTCTCTTATTAATAAATAAATTAAATTAACAAAATAACATTATTTTTATAATTTTTTTAAAAGAAATGGTATATGTTGGTGGAGGTAGAAAGTGGTAGTGGTAGAGTTAGAAGGCGGCGGTGATAGTAGTGTGGTGGTGGAAGGAGATAGTGGTGTATATGGTAGTAGTAGAAGGTGGCGGTGGTGGAAGATGGCGATGGTGAAAGACAGTGAAGGTAACGGTAGTGGTGGTAGAAGGCAGTGAAGGTGGCAGTAGTGGAAGGTAGTGGCTGTGGTGAAAGTTGTGGCGGCGATGGTGGTGTTGGAAGGAAGTGGCGGTTATGAAAGTCGGTTGCAGCGGTGGAAGGAGGTGGTAGTGGTGAAAGTTGGTTGCAACAGTGGTGGAAGGTTGTGGTGGTTAAAGGTGGTAGTAATGGTGGTGGAAGGCGGTTGCGATGGTGAAAGTCGGTGGTGGTGGTGGAAGGCAACAGTGGTGGTGGTGAAAAGCGGTAACAGTAGAATGTGGTGGTGGTGGAAGGTATTGGAAATGACGATGGTGGTGGTGGGAGGCGATGGCGGTGGTGAAATGCAGAGGTGGCTGTGGTGGAAAGTGATGACGGTGACGAAATGCAGAAATGGCTGTGGTGGAAGGCAATGGTGGTGGGGGGGATGATAGTGGTGTTATTGGTGGTGGTTTTTGGACTTTGAACATGAGGGTTTTTTAAGAAGTTGATTTTTTTGAAAAATATTACTTGGGAATGGAATGGTATTCCATAGGTTTACAATGGAATGACCATTCTAACTTTTAATTTTATATTAAGGGAAATAATTTTATCAAATATATATTAAGGGACATTTTCATTATAATAACATCATTTTGCAACAAAATGGATAGCTAAGGGATTTTATGTCAACTTTTTTCTAGGGGTTTTTTGTCATAAATTGAAAGTAGATAAGAGTATTTTGCAATTTGTCTTATAAACAAAAAAAATTGAGGAAGAAGAAATTTAAATATAAGAAAATTTGAATTGTTTCATGAAGTCCAAGGTAAAAAAATACTGGTGAAATAATTTGAAATTGTCATGTCCAAATGGGGCACCCATGTGCCCGATCCGATAAGAAAGTGTAGGTTATATCAAAGAGTGAGATAGGTAGCTAATGGTTAAGGAGTTTTAATGAGTGAGTTGTAAACTTGGAAGTCCTTTGTATAGTTCTTCTACATTGCCAAATTACATGTTTTTGAATAACAATCACATCAAAATGGTAATTTGACTTTTTTATTGAATATAGGGTAAATTACACTACCACCGTTTGAGGTCAGGTCAAATCTCATGTAACTTGACATTTTAGTTATTGTCAGTTACAAAATGACTACACTACCCTTTTGTCTTGTTGTCCACTTAAATAAGGATGTTTAAATATTTTTATGACAAAAATACCCCCAATTCCCAACTCCAAACATACCCTCATGTATAAACATGAAACAATCTGCATTACCATATGATCGACATCTCCTACGTACATGACCAAACATGGAAGAGATTAAGCGAGAACTGGTTGCAACTGCCGGTTCTGGTGATGATGGTGCAAAAATCCATCAAAAAACAAATAAAAACAATCATCTTATGATTCCATTTCATTACTTTGTTGTTGAAATTCCTATTTATTTCATATGACTCCTGAATTCCTTATACTGAGACTGTATATTTAGGTCTTATATATAATTGTTTACTGCTTAGTTTGTTTATAATTTGTGGCAACCTCGTGGGCGGGTGTGCCGTGGGCGGGTGCACCACTGGTAGGCTATCACACTGGGTGAGGTACGAGTGCACAATCCCACATTGCCTGGGTAAGGGAAAAGTCAAGTGCTTATATGTGGTGGTATTATCTCCAATTGGTATGAGGTTTTTTTTGGGTAAAACCCAATAGCAAAACCGTGCGTGCTCGGGCCCAAAGTGGACAATATCATATCATGTGGCGGAGTGGGTCGTTACAGAATTTGATACATGTGTGTGTGTGTTTCCTTTGCAGTTAGAGGCCTGAAACCACCATAACTTGGCCAACAAGGATGAATGTAGTTATGGGCATCACAAAAGACTTGTTCTTCATTTACGCCCAAGAGAATATAATACATGGGAATCTTACATTTACTACTTGGCGAGCAAATCAATGCCAATATTACAGATATTGGGCCCTAGCTCCAGGATCATAACCAATGCTACCAATACAAATGTGATTGCCACTGTCGGCACATGAGATACCCCTCGATTCTAGAGCCACGGGTGATCAAGTCCGAGCACAGAATACAAGGGATATCAAACAATGAATATTTAAACAAGCATTGGAATACAAGATGAATTAAAAATAAACAGATAAGCTGAAAGGAAAACTAAATAATAAATTCTTATTTAAAAATCCTCAAATAAATAATGATTAAAATTCCATAATAAAATCCTCCAATCTTCTGATACCAGTAATTAATTAAACTACAACTCGGGAATCCATACTGTGGACCCCTAATAATATCCTAACTGACATAACTGAATCGAAAAAAATAATAAGTTACTAATGAAGAAAAGTCCTACGTAGAGTCGGAAGAATGAATGGCTGTCTCTGCTCGGCACGAACAATCTCTAAGACTGGAACTGACGAACACCTGAAAAATAATGGTGGGTCAGGCCCACATACAAGTTCTAATCTACTACATCCCAAACAGAGACCCGATACACGTACACATCCTAATTAATTCAACAATAACTAAATAGTCCATATATAGATATATACACACACTAAAGGAACCTCACTAGACTATAGAGTTGTCTCAACCTGAATAGTAGGCAACATGCAAAACGCACATATAGTGGGCATGAGTACCTAGACCTACCAGGGTACACAACTACGCTATATCTAGCTACACATCCCTGGCAATATACGCACCCTAACCACTGATCCTGAGACTCAAGCTCATATCATGGTGTATAATTATATATTTAAAATCCGTCCTATCCAACCATCAAAAATAATCTATCCAATTATTATTTCAATACTATGTCATCCAACTATTCCGTTGACCTGACACGAATAAGTAGGACTTAACACTAT